CTTCCTTCCTTCCTTCCTTCCTTCCTTCCTTCCTTCCTTCCTTCCTTCCTTCCGTCTATCTGTCTGTCTGTCTGTCTATCTATCTATCTATCTATCTATCTATCTATCTATCGCTGTAAAAACCCTGCTCGGACGCTGGATCCAGGTTTGGGCGTCCTTGTGCCTAACGAGGGAATTTAATGTCATGAGGAGTCACAGGAGGAATGTCGAGGGGGAATTTTCGTCCGCCCCTTAAGAAAAAAGCCCCACCGAACCCCACAAACCCCTACATTTCGGGTTGCTCCTCCGCCAAGCACAGAGCCGATGGGGATGGAGACCGCGAGGTTTAAGTGCAGGAGGGTTTAAGACGACAAATGTGATGTCGGGTTTTAATTTTTACAAAGCCTTATTTATTGGTGAGCTGCTGCCCCCGAGATGATTATTTTTCAGCCACTACAAAACAAACCAAAGCAGGGGCCAGACATGTATTTACTGGAGGGGGGAGGGCTTGTTTGCTCTGTGTGTGTGTGTGTGTGTGCGGGTGTGTGCTGTGTATGCTTTTTTTATTCCTGCCATGTAAGAATCCGGTTTCCAAATAACAATGGCAGGGTGGGTTTTGGGGTTGGGTTTTTCCTTTTTTTTTTTCCTTCCTTCCGTCTATCTGTCTGTCTGTCTGTCTATCTATCTATCTATCTATCTATCTATCTATCTATCGCTGTAAAAACCCTGCTCGGACGCTGGATCCAGGTTTGGGCGTCCTTGTGCCTAACGAGGGAATTTAATGTCATGAGGAGTCACAGGAGGAATGTCGAGGGGGAATTTTCGTCCGCCCCTTAAGAAAAAAGCCCCACCGAACCCCACAAACCCCTACATTTCGGGTTGCTCCTCCGCCAAGCACAGAGCCGATGGGGATGGAGACCGCGAGGTTTAAGTGCAGGAGGGTTTAAGACGACAAATGTGATGTCGGGTTTTAATTTTTACAAAGCCTTATTTATTGGTGAGCTGCTGCCCCCGAGATGATTATTTTTCAGCCACTACAAAACAAACCAAAGCAGGGGCCAGACATGTATTTACTGGAGGGGGGAGGGCTTGTTTGCTCTGTGTGTGTGTGTGTGTGTGCGGGTGTGTGCTGTGTATGCTTTTTTTATTCCTGCCATGTAAGAATCCGGTTTCCAAATAACAATGGCAGGGTGGGTTTTGGGGTTTGGTTTTTCCTTTTTTTTTTTTTTTTTTTTTTTTTTTTTGGAGGGGGGGTATTTTTGTTTCTTTTTCAAGAAAGGGAAGGGACAAGGAAAACTCCTAAAGCATCTGCTCTCGGATGCACATTCCCAACACATGCAGATCTCTGCTCCCGCACAAGTGGTCTAAAAGCCCCAAACAACCAGAGCGACTGTTCCCTCTTCTTTTTTTTCCTTTTTTTTTTTTTTTCATTTTTATTTTATTTTATTTTTCGCCCCGCCAACGGGACTTGTATTTGATTCCC